TTTTTTTTTTTTTTAATGTGGAACTGGGGACTGAACTCAGGCCCTTGCGCTTGCCAGGGAAGCCCTTATTCCACTGAGCCATCTCCCCAGCCCCAGGCCCTTTTTTACATAGAAAATTACTAGGCTGGAGAGTTAGCTCAGCAGCATAAGCTCCAGCCTGGCAAGTATAAGGTCCTGAGTTTGATCCCCCATACCAAAACAAAAACAAAAAACAGATAAAAAGATTGAGGCCAGCTTGGGCAACTTAGTGAAATCCTGTGTCAAAACAAAACCATGCATCTAATATCTACCACATAAAACTTCTATGTTTTATCAACTGTTGTCAGGTATTGAGAAGTTTTACTTGTATGCATTCCTTAGAAACACTGCTAATAATTTACATCCAAGCAGTGTTTATTATATTTCACATGTTTTGATGTTTCCACCTACCATTCTCAGAAAAACTTTGGCAGCTATTTATCACTTTGAAAAATCCTCCCTGAACTGTACTGCAGTAATAGCAAAGTTTGATATTTAATATCTGTTAACTTGCTTCAGATATGCAAACTTTACTTTCAGAAACAAAAAAAGATGAGTACTATAAAAAAGTAGGACTAATCAATCAATGTTTGAGAAACCTTCACAGATTAAAAATAGCAAACACTACTTAATCAAAATAATTAACCCTACTAAGTGTATGTCTGAGTCCTTTTCACTTTTCACAAAGAGCTGTGCCACTGGGTACCTACCTGTCATATAGAAGTCTTTTATGGTCAGCTGAGGTGGGACAAGTGGGTCAGCAAGAAGCTGCTGGTTCACTAACTGCAGAAGAGGAGTAAGACAACAGTAACCGCGTTGAAACTCATATAAAACAAATATGATCACACCACTCACTACCCTGCACATGGGCAAGCTCTTACCTTGGAGAGCTCACTTGCTTGCTGAAAGTAATTCGCTCCTTCAACATCATCATATCGAACAAGATTAGGGGAGACTTGTTCCAATCTGTTCCTCACTTCATCCAGAGTATCATATGGGAGAGTAATACCTGCAATCTACACCAGAACACATGCCAAAACAATGACGTAAAGCTTAAAATGTCAGAAGCTGGGCATGGTGTCCTAGCACTCTGGGAGGCTGAGGCAGGCGATTCCCAAGTTCAAACCCAACCTAGGCATCTTAGCAAGACCCTGGCTCAAAATAAAAAAGGGCTATGGTTATAGCTCAGTGCAAAGGCCCTAGGTTCAAGCTCCAGTACCACACACATACAGAAAGTTAAGAGATGAGTAAAGTATGTGGTTAGGCACAAGGCATTGGGTTCAATCCCAAGCATAAGATTCATGATAAAATAAATGATTACAGCCAGGTGTGGTGGTGCATACAGTAGGGAGGCTGAGGCAGGAGGATCCTTGAGTTTGAGACCAGCCTGGGCTACAAAATGAGCTCAAGGCCAGCCTGAACTACATAGGAGACCTTGTCTCAAAGAGACAAAACAAACAAAAAACCAAGTTAGCAACATATTCAGATTCAATATAGCTTTTTTCTTTGGTACTGGCAACTGAAGTTAGGGTCTTGTGCTTGCTAGGCAGGCGCTGTGCTGCTAAGCTACACCTCCAGTCCTAGCTTTGTCTATTTTTTATTTATGTATTTGGTACAGGGTCTCACTATGCAGCTTGGACTCAGAGTGATCCTCCTATTTTCAGCCTCCCAGAACTGGGATTATAGGCATGCACCACCATGCCCCGTCTCAGCCAGCTCAGCGATAGGAATCAAACACTTGTCCCTGCGCTTGCCTAAGCAGGCACTTAGTCCACTGAGCTAATCATTCATTTTGTTTTGTCTTTTTGAGACAGGGTCTTGCTATGCAGTTCAGATTGGCCTTGAGAGCTCTTTTTGTAGCTCAGGCTGGTCTTGAACTCCAAACTATCTTCCTGCTTCACCATCCACAGTGCTGGGATTACAGGTATGGCCACTACAACCAGCACAAATCCTTATTTTCTAGCTGGGCCCAATGGCATACCTGTCTAATCCATCTACTCCAAGGGCTAAAGTAGGCTCCTAAATTCAAGGCCAACCTGGGCAACTTAGTGAGATCCTGTCTCAAAATAAAAATGGAAATGGGTGGGAATATAGCTCAGTGGTAGAGCACTTGCCTAGCACAGGTGAGGCACTGGAATCCCCAGGAATAAACACAGACTCACACGGACATACATACACAAACACACATGCATGTACACACAAACAACCACGACCACCTTTCCATTTTTGAACATTTTTCCTATAGACATTATTCACATCTTTGCTATTCTTCAGACTGACATGTTCCTTGAGTTTGAAAAAATCATTCTAATAAGCTAACATGTCCAATATCCCTTTAATACCATCACTAACAAATGCCTCAGTAATACCTCAGAGAGGGCTCGTATAATTTTCCAGTCTTCTCTTGCCAAGCCGGGAGGTGTCACTGCTACTTTGGTTTGCTGAGCTCTGCCCTCAGTATTAACATAAGTACCTGACTTCTCTGTGTAAGCTGCTCCTGGGAGAATAACATCAGCTATGGGAGCTCCCACATCACCATGATGCCCTGAGGAAAGAAGGAAACTGGCATAGCACATTTTAGGAAAAGCAGAGTCACTGCTGTAAATGACAACAGTATAGATCTTTTTTCTTTTTTTAATAGCTTCTTTTTAATTCCTGTTTTTTACTTTACTGGGAATTGAACTCAGGCCCTTGCACTTGCCAGGCAAGTGCTTTTTCTACTGAGCCATCTCCCCAGCCCCTCCGTTTTTTACTTTTTGCAGTACTGGGGACATTTGAGCATGCTAAGCAACTAATTTACAACTGAATTACACCTTTGGCCCTTAGTTCCCATGTAAAAAATTAGGATATTTTAAAAATTAAAGAGCAAGCGGCGGAGTTTGGGGTGTTGGGCGGCTTTCAGAAGTCTTCAAGCAGTTGCCATGTCAAGCAACACAGATGTTTCTCTTTCTTCATATGATGAAGACCAGGGATCCAAACTTATCCGAAAGGCTAAAGAAGCACCGTTTGTCCCTATTGGAATGGCAGGCTTCGCAGCAATTGTCGCGTATGGATTATATAAATTGAAGAGCAGGGGAAACACTAAAATGTCCATGCACCTGATCCACATGCGCGTGGCAGCCCAAGGTTTCGTTGTGGGCGCACTGACCCTTGGGTTGGGCTATTCCATGTATCGGGAGTTCTGGGCAAAGCCTAAGCCCTAGAAGAGGAGACGCTGCCTTGGACTCTGGAAGTGCTTGCTGCAGTTAGACATCTCATGTTGAGGTTACGTTTTTGTGTCAAAAATAAATCCTTGGAGTTGGTTCAAACTGTATTATAGTATCTGGAATAACATTTCTTCCTCGCAGCCTTGATAACCACGCTAGTGGTGACTGCTTCACTAACTGTGTCATTCAGGCTCCAGAAAGGTCACGTCTGTGCACTGGATAGCGTTTAGTCCACCTTCCCTCACCCCTCATGACAGCTCTTCCTGCGCTGGCCGGCCCTGAAGCCCTCTGCTCTGCTGCCGAGTGTCCCACACCCTGCATGTTGGGTAGGAGCCCCATTGACCCCAGTTACTGCAGTTTGTCCTTGTCTGCCTTGTGGACTGGGGTGACGAGTTGGTTTTTAGGACTGGCTGGCTCTGGAAGAACTCTTTCAAAGCACATGTGAACTGTAGCTTAGAGCCTCCCACAGCTGACACGTCCGTGCGTGCGTGCTCAACCTCGAATACTAACATGAGCGCTGCATTGAAGTCATGTTTATTTCAGAAACACACTTGTAAGCACGAGACTAGAGTAACTATGAATTGCAGCTTAGCTCTTTTACACTTGTAGAATTATATTTTTTGCTGCTGTTGTATTAGAATAATTTTTAAATGTCATCTTGAAATAGAAGTATTTACCTTAAGTGCTAAGTCACAGATAAAGAACTACTTTTTAAATGTGTGCAGTATGTTTCTCTGTAAGAATTATGAATGTTAAAACACTTTACTCAGAGTGCAAGCAGTGAGTGGTTTAGTGGTGAGCTGGCCGGTCCGGCATGACGCGCAAGCTCTGCTGTACCCCAGAATGGCTGTGAACGCTCGCAGAACCTCTTACCTAACCTGAACTCACATTCCGTGGTGACAACATCGTATCTGACATGTTATTAAAGTGGGTGAATACAAAAAAAAAAAATTAAAACAATAAAGGAATAAAAATTAAACCCATCTCATCCTGCTTCAATTTCCTTTCCTGCCAAAATTACTGTTAAAGTATTTGGTGTGCATCTTTCTACATTTTGTATATAAAAACAAAAGGACAAGTATCACACACAGATATAATGCCAAGTACATTCATGCTTACAAAGTAGAGATGCTCAGATATACTAGTAAAGGGGTCAGGGAGATAGCTCAGCGGAGTAAGTGCTTGCCTGGCAAGTGCAAGGCCCTGAGTCTGATCCCTGGTACCATCAAAAAAAAAAAAGATATACTAGTAAAATTTGCTAAAGCAGTCTTAAATGGTAGAAGCAAGCAAACTGTAGAGAACTATGACAGCAATAATACTAAACAAAGGAATAAATAGAAAATAGTATTCTGAAAGATCAGTGATCTCCCTGTCATGCCCTCCCGAGTGCTGGGACTACAGGTGTGTGTCGTCATGCCTAGCTCTATATAATGTTCTTTATGGCAATAAGAGCTTGTTATATAAAATAAAATGGAAGCTTGCAACACATTGCTGTTAAGATATCCAGGAATACACTATGTTCCATTTATTGCAGTAATTACATCTACAACAAGAGTTTAAGAAAATGAATCAAATGTAGAAAACTATAGTGCTATATTAAATGTAACTTCATTAACTGTCTTAGACCATAGGTGACTGCTCAACTCTTTACAGGTTGTATGAAAGTGCTTGCCTTGGTTAAGTAATACTAAATATTCTTTGAAAAGTTGATTTTTTTTTAAAATTTTATTTATTTGTGTGTGTGTGTGTGTGTGTGTGTGTGTGTGTGTGTGTCCAGCTCAGCCCACCAGGGGGTGGGGCTGGCTGGCATGTGGTGCTGGGGGATTGAACTGCAGTCCCTGTGCTTTGCTAAGCTTGTTCTAAGTAGGTGCTCCAGACCACTGAGCCATCTCCCCAGCCCCAAAAGTTGATTTTTAATTGTTATTGAATCCACTATATGAGTAAGCATACCTTTGTTCCTATTACTGGGCATTTAGGCTACTTCTAATTCCTAGTAAGTAGCACCTGGTAGTTGAGCACTAGTGATGGTACATGGCGATAAGCCCAGCACTCTGGGAAGCTCAGGCAAAAGGATTACAAATTCAAGTGTACCCCATGCAAATTAGCAATTTATTAATTTCCTATCTCAAAATAAAACAGAGAAAAGGCCTGGAGATGTAGCTTAGGGCAAAGGTGCTAGGTTCCATGCCTAATACTATGGAGAACAAAAAAAAGAGACAATTGTTTTCTTTTTTTTTTTTAATTTTATTTATTTGTGTGTGTGTGTGTGTGTGTGTGGCCAGCTCAGCCCACCAGGGGGCGGGCTGGCTGGCATGTGGTGCTGGGGGATTGAACCGCGGTCCCTGTGCTTTGCTAAGCTTGTTCTAAGTAGGTGCTTTAGACCACTGAGCCATCTCACCAGCCCCGAGACAATTGTTTTCAACTGCAATATCAACTACATTATAATACTGCCTATAATTTGGTTTTTAAAAACGAGGTCAGGGAGAGAAAGAATTCTCAAATGGAAAATATTCAGGCCACTAAGTGTACTGCCCAATAGTTTTTACTATACACAATGTGCAATTGTGTTCCCATATCACAGGTGTACTTACCTTGATAAATAATAAAACAATCCTTTGGCAAATCCTGTCGCGTGATACAACCGCCATCTGCTCCTAGGAGGAACAGCACTTTGGGGGGGTTCTTTCGAATTGCTTCCACCCCAGGCTTATATCCAAGGTCCAAAGCAGCTACCTGGCTCGCAACCCTAGAAAATAATCATGACATTCTAGCATACCTGTAGTGTTTTCAGTATAAACACGACTAATGCCTAATTTCTTTTATATTCCACACTATGAAAGGTCCTTTCTGAAACATAATATACTTAGGACTCTGTCTCTTCAGGAGATAGCTAATGGAAATTTTATATCAACTCTGTCATAAGTTTGACTCATTTGGGCCGGGGAGATGGCTCAGTTGAATAAGTACTTCCCTGGCAAGTGCAAGGGCCTGAGTTCAATCCTTAGCTCTGGAAAAAAGTTTGACTCATTTAATACAATAAAGCATAAAAGACATGTTAAAACTAGACATAAAAGGAAACTTAAGTGATTTAGAAAACTAAAAGGGAGAAATTTAAGGGCTTGGGAAAATAGCTCAGCAACATAAGCACCTGCCTGGCAAGAGCAAGGTCCTCAGTTTGATCCCCAGTACCAAAAAATAGAAAAGGAGAAATAAATTTATTTATTTTTATGCATTTAGTACAGGGCCTAAACGGTCTCACTACACAGACTGGACTCATAGTGATCCTCCTGTTTTCAGCCTTCCTAGCACTGGGATTACAGGTGTGTGCCACCACACCCAGTCTCAATCATCTTCTCAGTGCACCCCAGAGATGGGGCCGGCATGGCGCTCCGGGGATTGAACCCAGGTCCCTGAGTCTGCCTAAGCAGGCGCTTTAATCTGCTGAACTATCTGGCCAGCCCTGGAAAATGAGAAATTTAAACACCACTCAAAAAAAAAACCCCGTAATTCAGAGAAAGTCATTAGTATATCAGTATATACTCTTACAGAATATTTGTCTAAAAATATATCTAGTACTACTTTTTGTTGGCATTGGGGAATCAAACAGGGATTTGTACATGCTACTGAGCTACAGCCCTGACTCCTATTTTTACTATGAGAAGAGGTCTTGCTAATAAGTTGCCTATGCTGGCCTCAAGCTTTTGATCCTCCTGCCTGAGTCGTCCAAATAGCTGGGGTTACAGGTGTGTATTATTGTTGCTAGCTTTTATGGAAGAAGCCTAGAATAATTATACTTCAAACAGTAGAGTTGTTCTGGTCTACTTCCTACTGACAATCTTTGAGGACCTGTGGTATGTAATGTACATTGGTACAATCTTTCTAAAACAGGTCAGAAGCATGCATCAACAGCCTTAGGTAAGCATTCCTGCCCTCCCAGCCGCTCACTACATTATCTACAAATAATTAAAAACTGCTATCAGGGCCTGTGGTATATAGCTCAGCGGACTAAGCGCTTGCTCAACGAAGCGCAGGGGCCAGGGTTCAATCCCTGGCGCCGGTTGCTGCACCGGCCCTGCCCTCGGGTGCACTGAGCCAGCGATGGAGTCTGGGTGCGGTGGCGCGCATGCCTGTAATCCCAGCCATGGGGAGGCAGAAACCAGGAGGAAAAAAACAAATAAACAAACAAACTGCTATCAATGTACATCTTGTACATGCACAAAAAATATAGCTAAATAATTTATAGTACACTCATGATATTAAATAACTACTGAAGTATTTATAAAATTGGAGGGGTTCTTTTTTGGAGGTTTTCTGTTTGCTTGCTTTCAGAGGCACTACTGTTATCAGGCTAGTCTTAAAAAAAAAAACTCAATCCTTATCTTAGCCTTCCAAGTGCTAGGATTACAAGTGCTACCATCTTCAGTTATTAAGAATTTCTAATTATAGGAGAAAATTCTCATTTAGTAGTGAAAGCCAATGAAAATCAGGGTTTAAAATTGTATTCAATATGTTCCCAACAATGTAACTAAAACATTTTCTGAAGGAACAATAAAAAAGAACAGAAGACATTGAAAAGCAATAGTAGCTATCCATAAATGGTGGAGTAAGGGTTACTTCTAATTTTGCGTACTTCTCTAACTTTTCTGAAATAAATTTACATTACTGACAGTGGGGGAAAAAAAAAACCCTGAAAACCTTCAGCAGAATTCTTATATTACATTTTTTTTTAAAGGTGGAAGGTTTATTTCAGTTCATAATTTGTAGGTTTCAGTACCCAACTGTCTAGCTTTGTTATATTTTTTGTCATTTAGTCAATGCCAGAGACCTTGATGTTCTCTTTTGCTTTGTACTGGGGAATGAACCCAGGAAGTGCTGGGTTATATTTCCAGCACCTCCTGACTCCTTTTTTTAAAAAACAGTCTCACTTAGTCGCTTAGGCTGCCCTTGAACTTGTGACACTTCAGGTTCTACCACTTATATACCTGAGGATTATGGGTCATGTGTCACCATGCCCAGCATGTTTCAATTTTTAAACCAAGATGTAAGAAGACACAAAAAATATAACCAAATAGAATAAAAAGACATAAAGGAGATGGGAAGCATTCTCACTGAATACTTAAAAATACTTTTTTTTTTCTAAATTTTTATTTATGTGTATGTGTGTGTGTGTGGCCAGCTCAGCCCACCAGGGGGCGGGGCTGGCTGGCATGTGGTGCTGGGGGATTGAACCGTGGTCCCTGTGCCTTGCTAAGCTTGTTCTAAGTAGGTGCCTTAGACCACCAAGCCATCTCACCAGCCCCTTAAAAATATTTTTATAAATCATGGTAGCATTTTTGTAAATTAAATTTTTTCTCAACCCTATCTTAGATACTGTAAATACTATTATCTTCAGTTCTTCTTACACAGAGAATATGGTAAGTCATATCTGCAATGATGACAATGTTTTAAATTTCATTTTATTTTATCTTATTTATTTATTTTGTCGGAACCGGGTATTGAACTCAGGCCCTTGCGCTTGCCAGGGAAGCACTTATTCTACTGGGCCATCTCCCCGGCCCTTAAATTTCATTTATATATATAAATGCGGCCAAAAAAAGAAGGAAACAGTGAATCAGGAACACATACAAAAAACTACTTGAATTTAATGGTGTATAAAACAATTACTCCACAAACCTGTGCAGTATATTCATAACTTTCCAATCACCAGTCACACCACTAGTCACCCGGACCTTCTGTGCGATGCTAGAAACAGCCGCAAGAATTGCTGCTCCATCACTTCTTTGGAGAGCAGAACTGCCTAAAACCACCATTGGTTTTTGAGCTGCTTTCAATACCTATTTTAAAAAGCAGGGAGAAAAACTTTAATTTAAAAACATTACAAGGATTCTAAATACCCATATCTGCATCTACAATACTCTCTCAAATTTGAGCTATAACATGAAGAGTGCCTGATTTTAGTCAAAACATGGACACAAATACAACAAACTGGTTTAATCCAAAGCATCTTATGGATATTACTGTGATGGCTGAGTGAATATCAAATACAACAAGCTACAATTATAAAAGTAATGTTTCGGCACACTTGGAATCCCAGCTCTCTGGAGGCGGAGGCAGAGAGATCACCATGAATTTGAGGCCAGCCTGAGCTTTACAACAAGACTTGTGTTTCAAAAAAAAGGTAATGCTTACCTTTACACAAGTAAGCAATGGGAATGAGATGCTAGGTATCCTCCCTTGGTCAAGAAGAGTCTGGGGAAATACCCCTCCAGAGATTCAGATGGCAGGCAGGAGTAGACTATACCATGCTTAAGCCCTGTACTTCCTCATCACACCCCAAACTGGCAAACAGAGGCAGGGATTCCACAGCAATTCTCTGTGTGCTAAAAACTACAGACTTAGTGGAAGATGGCCTAGTAAAAAGTGAGTTGAAGAATATACACCTCACTTTCCCACTCATCCTGTAATTCAAATATTAGGTGACAGTCAAAGAATGAGCCTGAGAATTACACCTAAAAGACACAACAAACAGTACCTTCATTATAAAATCAATTTCCCAGAAAACATTATGAATTCAGGCCAGGCATGGTGGCACACACCTAAAATCTTAACACTCAGAAGGCTAAGGCAGGAGGATCACCACAAGTTCAAGGCCAATCTGGCCTACACAGTGAGTACAAGGCCATCCTGAACTACAGAGTGAGAACATGACTCAAAAAACAATAATGAGGGCTGGGGAGATAGCTCAGTAGATTAAGCGCTTGCTTGGCAAGCACAAGGTCCTGAGTTCAATCCCCAGTACTGCAAAAAAAAACCAATAATGAAAAAAATTCAAAGCAACATAGCCACGCATGGTGGTGCACACCCATCATCCTAGCACTTGGAAGGCTGATGAAAGAGGATTTTCAGTTCAACTTGGACTACATAGTGAGACTCTGTCACAAAAAGAAAAACAAAACAAAAACACAATCAATACATTCTCACCTTTAAAATAAGAGCTCAGAGAAAATGATACAATAGAAATACTATCCAGGAGATATTCATCATAGAATTCAGGAAAGGAATGTAAAAAAAAAATTAGAGATGAAAACCACCCTGCAAACACAACTGCAAATAGTTATAGGAAATAGACTATAGTCGATTATTCAAAATAAACTAAAAAAAAACCAAACCAAAACAAAGAAAGGACAGATGAAAGAGATCCAATATCTGCACAACTAATAAAGAGAACAAAACTGATGGAAAATATACAGTATTTAAATCTACAATAGAGGCCAGGTGTGGTAGTACATGCCTATAATCCCAGCATTTAGGAGGCTGAGACAGGGGGATCATTGTATGATACCACCCTTCACTACAATGTGAGTTCAAGGCCAGTTTAAACTGTATAACGAGACTGTCTCAAAATGATCAAAGAATATTTTTAGGGGCTGGGGAGATAGCTCAGTGGAATAAGTGCTTGCCTGGCAAGTGCAAGGGCCTGAGTTCAATCCCCGGTTCCGAAAAAATATATATGTATGTATATATATATATTTTTTTTTAATTAAAT